AATTCCTCTTTCAAAGCTTTACTTTAACGTTGTTATTTTGGCAGCCACCAAGATGCCGGAATCGAAGAAATTCGCTCGGCAATGGCGATGAACTAATCAGGCAACGTCGATCAGACGAAGTATGCGACACCAGTACAACTTACTATCTTTAACATAATTAGAATCCTTAAGAAGTTGTTTGGTTACTAAACTTTTCACTTTCTTCTGTTAGATGGGTTAGACATTTCTCCTCCAACGGTGCTATCATCCATCTACCTCAGCAATCTCATCACATCATTTGATGAATCCCAAAGGATTCATCAGATGCCTAACCACTGTAATGTACTGTAATGTTGATTCTCTAGATCTGTTCTTCTAATCAGTTCTTGTAGAATAATTTCCCGATGGACGAGCAATCATTCGATCTGGCGAGTGATAATGACAGCGAATATGAAGACTATCAAACCGAAGCAACAACACAACAGTTACCACCTCTTGTAACATTTGCGACCAGTGGACTTCACTCAGACAAAAAACGTTCGTTCATTTCTGCAATTCTGGATGTTGAAAAGTCGACTGAAACATGTCTACTTTTTTTCTGAAGAACTCCGGTAGGAGTTTAGTCGCTGAAGCAATATTGAACAACCATTTCAGTTGCTCAAGTAATACCGCCTCGAAGGCGCACACACTTCGAACAAAACGTCGCAGCTAGCGCAAATAAGCAACAACGAAATGAGTCACCACTCAAGTCGCTGAATCATAGCGCAACTGTGACTGCGGATAGCGTTCTTCCAGCAAGAGGAATCGTGGCCAATATTGTGCCTATTGCACAGGCAAAGCCAATCGTCTCTAACGGGTAACTGAACTAACGCAATTGTTCGTGTGTTCTTCTAAGGTGAAAAGTATAAAATTGAGACCAATTATGAAGTATTCGAATAGGCAAAACAAATTTGCTATTATCAGTATTGTTACCATTAGATTTAGCTAGTTGCAGACTGTCCTAAACTTTTGGTACTAATATTAATAATATAAAAAATATATTAATGCAGACATAATGCAAACGGTCAACCCCGAATTAGCGGTTTTCCGATTGGCGGAATGGACTTCAAGTTGAATACACAAGATTTGGCCATCGTCAGCAACAACCATGTCAAAGAACAACTCGAAAAGGTTCGTCCATCAAATCGAGAACTATGAATGATAAACACTAATTTCGAACAGTTTTCGAAATCAAATTTTCGAACAAATATTTCGTTTCTTCATCAGAATATATTAGTTCGGAAAAAACTGACACGAATAATTTATCGAGTAGCGTTACGCCTTTCAGGTTATTAAGAGTCAATCTGATCTTAATAAACCAAAGGAAAAAAGTGCTAAGAGTGGAAGTGAAGAACCAGTTGCTAACTTGATGAAATCATCAAAGAAGATTACTGAGGTTAAGTCAACAAAATCAAGCAAGCAGACATCAACTACGACAACGCCATTTGTCGCCAAGAAAATTGCTCTTATAACGACGAAAACACCCGCATTGGTCAATGTTCTCGATCCATTTCAGCGGAATCCCATTCGAGAAATGACCCAGTCAGGAGATGATTTCTCGGTATGAAGTTGAACATCTGAGCAATTTTGTGTTCCAATTTATGAATTTCACGTTCCAATCGGGTTACAATAGTGGGTTGTTAGATCTTTCACTAACGAACGTGAACTATTTGATTACCACAGAGATAAGAAATCGAAAAGTTAGATCGACGCCATTTGGGACAGAAGTGATCAATGATGTGTATGTAATTTTTGCGTTAATGAAGCATCTGTTAACTAAGGCATAGTCACTGAGGAGATTTGCGATCGAATGAATTAAGTGTATCGATGTTATGTTGTAGGAGTCTGATGAAACAACAAACGAGCTCGAACCGGCCGTACGCCTTGAACAGAAAATAGCCAATACGGTGCAGCTCGACCGATTGACCTTGGAATCTCAGGTTCTTAATTAATTCTACTTTATCCTTCGAGTTTCGGTTCTAATTTTTTGTCAAATTGGATGACTTCATTTTATAAGCTGAGCAGAGGTAAATTGTCAAATTTCATCGCTTTATGACTTCTGTTGACGACCATATTCAAGTATCACTATGAATCAAAAACGATGAAAAAATATCAAATTTCCACATTCATATATCTTTACGAATCTTCGAAATTTTGATGCAGTGAATGAATCTCGTTTCAGATACTGAATGTGCGTGATTTGGAGATCGTACGAGATCCACTGAAAAAAGACAAATGGTGTAAAAAGTGATTCATCATGTACCATATTTTCTTGAGAATGCTCGGTATTCAATTCTTAATCAACCATAGTCATCGTTTAATAAGACTTTAGTCAAATTTTTAGTGCTCTGCTTTTGGAAATGATTTTCCGAAATGTTTCCAGTTCAGTTCCGATTTTGAGCATTTCATTAAGTATTGCATGATTTTGCCTAGGAATCCATTGTATGACTTTGCATGTGATGATGCTCAATATGCTCTTTCCTCTCAACAACTCCTTTATTGCTCCTTCGCTTTGGCTTTTCGATATTGAAGTGTTACTTTGTTTGCAAAGAAAAACGAGCCTTTTTTTGCATCGAAAAACCCTTTTTACGTATCGTCTTGTATGACTTATGAATATCTTCGAAATTCAACAGGTAAGGGATCAGTGAGATCAGTTGTGACTAGGAACTGAGGTGTACGAAATAATTGAGCTTATGAGTTAAATAACCATTTTTATTGTTTGATGTGTCAGTGATTGGAGCGAATTTACAATAAATAGTTCAATCTCGTTTCGAGCACAGAATGGTGTACAAGTAAAGGGAAATTTCAAAAATGATTATGAGAAGTCTTTCGAGATCACTTCTCTTTCCACATTCAAGAACATGCAATTGCAAGTAAGTGCAAAGCAACAACATAACTGCTAATTGCGTGTGTTTCAGATGAACTCTTCACTATNTATGATGCATTCCAGTAAAATCGTTATCGTTAGCTAAGTGCAAGTACGGAGGCTGAATGAATTTCAATGTATCATATCTAATCGAAAATGCTATTGGAAAGCAACAGAACCGAAGACCTTCACCCGCGCTCTTTGAAAATGATTTTGAAATACTTTTCGATGGAGCTTTGCATATCACAACAGGTCACACAATTGTACACATTATCACTTCGTTTGAACGGAGCCTGCGCAAATTTTGATGCTAGAATCAGCGAGTTTATCATCGAAACTCTAGTTGACGACAATCCAAGGAGGATAAGTGCTATTCATAATATGTACTGAATAATATTCAATATGGGACACAAGAGGGTGAGTGGCATTCCAAAGCGTGATAATCCGAATTCAGTCAAAGTTTACGTTGATCGAATTCGCTTAACGCAGCGATAAGAACTGTGGTTGGCAATTGCCATTGAAGCAAAGCTATCGAAACGGATCAATCGTTGAATGCTCATTCCAGTATTCTTTCTGTTAACCAAAAAAATAATTCCTTGAAAGCAAGTCACTAGAGCGTGTTCTATCTTGTCAATGCCGCATCACGAGTGCATCTTATTACGTTCTTATGAAGTTATCACCTGCAGTTACCGACGAAAATCACCTGCAGTTAGTGACGATTTTACGTACGATGAAATTGCCCTCGTCAGTTATGAAATCTTTGTCCTATCTTTTCGGTGGCACTCATCAGAATAGAATGGTGAATATTCTATTAAGAATTCATAAGAAAGGATGTAATGAAATTCCTGAGAAAGAATGTGTGTTGTCCTATGAGAGCAATCTCTTTGAACGGTTTACTTTATGCGTCATTAGTGAACCAATCAAGGTTTACTTAGTGTTCCTTATCGTTTTCACTGAACCAACCCTTTTTACATTATTCAAGTAAGCAAACACATAAAACCGTTTATAACTATGTATTGTCACCAAACAAAAAAGACGTTCACTTTCATTATTCTCATATTTCATTTATACTTTTATCTCGAATATTTCTTGATGCAATATTCTTATCAATCAATTCCTCTTATCAACTAATCAATCCATGCACCTTCATTCCCATCGTTTAGACCCCTCTATGCATCTTTTGATGCCCAAAATGAAACATTTCGAAAAGAATATTCTCAGTAGTGGAATATTCAATAATTTCGTTCCATTCTGTTTTAAAAATTTCAGCTGAACAAGAGCTTTGGCTCTGATTTTTGTATCATTTCATTTCATTCATTTATTTAGGATGGCATTATTGCTGTCATCCAGCAAAATGAACTCAAACTTCAGAGAGAGAGTGGCACCTTGTCACAAGAATTAACGTAATGTCTTTCATCTCGATGTCTTCATTCTACAACACCCTGATCGTTCACACTTCTTGCTTCTCTTACCATCCGAGGATTTTCCCAATGCGTTTTTCTGCTCTCGATCACATCGTATTTCACTTCGTTAGCTTTTAAGAGCTTCATGAAAACTCTCCACCACTACAAGTGGTTGTATTATGCGGCAGTATCATTCTATTAAAACTGTAAGTCTAACGATCGATCCAATATATTGGAAGTGTGGAAAGTTTTAGAAACGAATTGTACAAATGAGCAATTATGTGGATTTGGGAAATTCGGGAAAACTCAACTTCAGTTTGGGAAAATGTGACGAGCGATAATTAAATCAAGCTTTGTAATATTGTTAGATGATCGTTATCGTCGGACATTTCCCTATGGCAAGCATTTCTAGAGAACGCGTTACAGTATGATGGAACGTGAATCTGAAAGACACAGCTAGTGACTAATCGAGAATTTATGCGA